CCTTCCAAACATGAACAGGAAGCCGAGTGAGCGTCTATTCATAATAAGAACTGTGAGTCATCACTCATCATTTTGAGTTATTACTGTATGACAGGATATCATTCTGCATCACCACTTGGGCCAATAATAATCTCATCTCATTCGTAAGTCTGACTTGAACAAATTGCAACAAAGTCAGCTTCAATCAGCAGTGATACAGTGATCAAATCTGAAGGGTAAATGGGATACAAGACAAATCTCCACACCGACTGAAATTCAAGGCGAAAAAAAGAGAGACAAGACTCAGAACAAAAAATAGGTAATGTGTTTAATTTTGTTTCCTCAACCACACTTAAGTTCAGTTATGCTTTCATTAGAGGCCCAGAAAAAACAAAAATTTAACACACTTTTCTATACAGCTTTCATTTAGTTTAGTATAAGAATGAATTTTAACCTTATAGGGAAAAAAAAAAATTAAGTTGTCTTTTTTTTCCTCCTACACTACATCCACACTGAAGAGGAATATGGTTGTATTTTCCAACAAATAAAAGGAACTCAAATCTACTATGCAAACTTTATTAGTATAGACTATTTTCGTTACCATTTGTACAGCAACATTGTTTTTTTTCTTCACAGAGAAAGATTTTTAAAAAAAATGTTAATTTATAATTAATAACATGCCACATATATCACCATTAGATTCATCTCAATGATTTTGTTGTTTTTTTTACCTGCACACTGCAGCCTGCATGGGCACGTCCTGGTGGTACCTTCAACTGGAACACCTGGCCCACAGTTGCTGAGGAGTCAGGGATACTGGTGTGCACTCCCTCATTCTTTGCAGAGGAATCTGGGACAGCTGTGGGCGGCCCTTCACCAACTAAGGATGCTGCAGCGTTGAGCTCAGAGAGCACAGAGGACTGCATGGATGCCTCTAGTTCCACAGATATCATCTCCACAAGTGTCTCTTGCTGTTCTGGTACTGTGCCCTGAGTCAGGGTCGCCAGAAGCCCCATTATCAGAGGGATAGTCCTGCACGAAATAAGCCTGCTCCCCCCAGCATCCCCGCAGCTCATGTCTCTCCGTTTATAGTGCATAGCAATAGGCCTTTGGGCTGCCCAACAGATGTCTATGAACAACTGAAGAGGCCACATGCACTGAAGTCAATCTGATGATATGCTTGACAGTCAGATTCCTTAGTGATTGGCTATGCTTGAAAATGCAGCGGTTTCTCTTTGTTGTCCTCTGTGATCCATGAAGAGATCTTTGGCAGCCTGCTAGACAGCCATGACATCTGGCTATATAGAAAAGAAAAAAGAAAAAAATGAGGGCAACAAAGTGGAAACATACATAAAAACATCAGTGTAAACATACATCTATTATTATAGGTTGCGTGGTAGTTTCTGCAGACATCTATTATGGTGGGGTTTTTGGCACTTGTTTACCAATTAATATTAATGTCCATAATTCTTGGTGTAAATATATGTACTACACAGTAGAGGTTCCTGAAAAATTGCTCAGTGGAAAATAAAAAGGATCTGCTATGACACTTCATTTTTCCATTTATTTATAATGCTAAATCAGCAACAGAAAAAAAAACTCAATGTCTCACTCTGTCACTGGTCCACAGCCCAGCTTTTAAGAAGGAACCCAGAATTAATACATAATGACATATCTCATAAAATACACTGAAACCACCACAAATGCCCATTACATTACACATCTGCCAATCCAAAAAATTCACTTTCTGCCAAGAACCCCCAAAACACTATTTGTCTTATTTTATTGATATGCAAATTACAGCTATGCAACTTTAAATCTGCGGTTTATGGTGTAAAATGGCAACAATTTTTAAGTTTTTTTGATATATTAAATGTCTGACATCTTAATTTACAGCTCACCATGGAGTCAAGTACTGTCAAGTCTTATGCATGGCCTAGTGAATGAAAAGGATTTGAAACGGTATTAAGCTTTCTCACTGTAATCTAGAGCCACAACATTATTCAGGTAAGTTCCCAAATGCATTCTTCTTCTTTTTTTTTAAAAAAAAAAAAGTTCAATAACAATGTAAAATAATGTTAATACATTATTAGAAAAAAAAAAAGTTGATCACCTAATGATCTTTACTTCTATGCCACGCCATTTTGAGTTATAGTGAGCCTCATGAGATGAAGGAGTGTCAAAGGTTGTTTGTCTTTGTTGTAAATTTTAATTAGATGCCCTGAGGTTGGAATTAGAGTCTCCATTGTGCTGACCTAGCTAACCCCAATCCTGTAACACTCAAATGGGCACAGGAGGGTCAGCTGTTTGCCCAGAATCCTAATGCTTAGCTCGCACAACGTATGACGTCAACAGACACACTCCAATATATTGTCAAATAGTGGCTACACTTGTCCCTCACTAGAATCCCTTTATGTTTAATCTAAGCCATAGAAAAACAAACCAACAATTAATACATAAATTGCTCATTTATCAATGCTTTATGCTGTCTGGAAAAAAACTAACAATAAAAAACAATATTACCGGGATGATTCATACAAGAAAGCGCATAAAAACTAAAAAGGGCAGCCGTGCAATGAAAGGAAATGAATGAAAGGAAACTCACAGGAACACATCACAAAATATAAACACAAGTATTTACTTTACATTGGTGGGAGCACAGGCTGTGCATTATTGTTTTGCAATAAGCCATTAAATTTAATGAACATAATGAAAAGTAATCATTACTGAAATCATCCATGCATGAAACTATGGTGTACCTGTAAACTGAAATGCAGCAGCAATAACTCTAATGTTCAGATTTGATTGTGTCCCTTATTCGCTCTCCTTTAAAAAGCATTAAGACAATCTATAACATATTTAAACTTGAATCTCTTTGAAAAAAAAAAAAGAAAAAAGAAAAAAAATTATAGTTGCACGGTGGTTAGCACTGTTGCCTCACAGCAAGAAGGTCCAGAGTTCAATTCCACCATCAGGCCGGCGTCTTTCTGTGTGGAGTTTGCATGTTTTCCCGTGTTTGCGTGGGTTCTCTCCGGCTACCTCCCACAGTTCAAAGGCATGCAGTTAGTGGGGTTAGTTTAATCGGTAATTCTAAATTGCCCATAGGTGTGAATGAGTGCGAATTGTTGTCTGTGGCTGTGTGTTAGACAGATTGGCGACCTGCCCAGGTGTACCCTGCCTCTCGCCCTAAGAAAGCTAGGATAGGCTCACCCCCCACCCTGAAAAGGATAAGTGGAAGAGAATGGATGGATGGATGGATAGTTCCTAAGAATAACTGTTACTTGCTACTACATCACTGACACTCAAACACCTGGTTGATCAATTTTATGCAAATAAGACAACCTATAAAATTTGTACCCATTCTTAGTTCCTACTGTTATTCCCCCCCCCTCCTAAACTCCTTACACCCATTTATTAAGCCTTATTTGCAATTTGTGTATTCTAACTCAGCTGATTAAACAGCTGAATGGATGTATTTTCTCTACTGGAAGGTTTTCAATAGAAAGCAATGTTGCAGGTGGGAGTGATCAGAATCTCAGAGGGAACTGAAACAGCAAATCCTGCACATTATTTGCAGACCTCTATCAATTTGCTCATGTCACTGCTTAAAAAAAAAAAAAAAAAGAAGAAGAGAAAATTGGAACATCCCTAAGCCAATACCTCTTTTTAAGGTGTTAATAACATTTATAATATATATGCACATATATAATAACCTTTATAATATCACCCTGCAACTAAGAAGGCATTTGGATGGGATATTTACTTGACTAAAGATACCGTGTTACCTTTGTGATCTAAATTATTCTAAACACATTAAATGTTTAATTTTAGTGATTTGCTTTAAGTAACTAAAAAATGTTCTTCAGAAAAGCCAATTACAAAAATAACAGTTTACATTACTGTAAAATTTGTAGCTCGAAATATTGTCATTACTTTTGTGGCAAATTAATACCCTTTTCCTGTTACCCCGTCAAAATGTTACAACCAACAACTACTGTTCCACGTTTTAAATATAGATCGTTTAAGTTCTTTTTACAACAAGTGCACATTACAGTAGTTTTCAAGTCAACCAATGCCCCAATGAGACTAAGAGAGGACAACCCTCAATTTATACAGATATATAGATACATTACATATAAGACTATTTTTGTTTGCTTGTTTTGAGCTAATACCATGTGACAACTAATCAGGGCACTAAACAGCCACACATGAACAACTCCAAGTACATATACTACAATTACCAGAAAGCTTTAGGTTTATATATGGAACAAAAAAAAAAAAAAACACAACAAAAACTCCAAACCTAAATGTAATAAATTTACTGACATGTAAATTTGGTCATATTTGAGGTTGCTGAAATTGCATGTCTAGACTGTTACAAGCATAACTACCCTGTCTCCCAATTGCGGTTGGATGAATGTCTAAGATAAGATAACACAGTATTTAGAGTGAGAGAGTTTGAGTTACCCCATTTCACTCTAATCAACAAAAGGAAACTTTAAAACAACCTTCCCTGTGCTATAAAGTCCAACAAGAACAGTGAGATTACATCCAACACTAGCACAACTTTATTTCCTCTTTTGTTTATGGTGTGTCTCACTCTGATTTGGACTGTTACGACTACACTGCCAAATGGGCAAATGATAATATACAAGAAAAATTCACATCCTGTATCCCCCGCCAGCTTGCTGAAAAGACATATCAGAGGAGGAGCATTTTATATACAAAATATATTTAAACAAAGGCACTTTAAAACACTAGTTTAAAGAAAAAATGAACACAATGGATTTGTTCTTCAAATATGAAGTTTGACGCCTACTCCACAAAAGAGTACTGAGTCACACCACACCTAACACATAAACCAGGTTGAAACATGTTGCTTATCTGGGATTTTTATCTGAGTCAGTTCAGTGGGATTTCAATCCCCTGTCCCTCTCCCCCAGTTCTCTTCTGACTCCAAACCCAGGCAGTCTCTTTAACACACATACATCTTGAATTGACTGCAACATGCAGGCTGAGTGTAAAGACAAAAGGTACTGCTTGAGCTGTGTATCCATCTGTGTCCAAAATGTAAAACACAAACATTACCATGAAAACAGTTTACACCCATAAGCCTTATTTAGACTGAGCACCACACCTCACCTCAGGCTGCTGCCACACACAAATGGGGTGGGGGGGGCAACATCTGAGCATCAAAGTAAGCTCTCCACAGTGTGACCTAGATTTTAATCACGTTCAGTATGTAGGAAGTTTTAAATAAAAGTCAAACGACATCTCATTAAGAAACATTAAGCGTTTCAAATCAATGTACATTTGTAGTGTTCAAATGAACAACTAAACGGCTTTAAAATTCAAACGTGTGCATAACAGGGTGTGTTTAAGATGAATAATCCTCAGGACTAATTAGGATGTGTCATTTCAGGAAAAGCCCAGCAATCTAAACATTGTTTTATAAAGAGATTACTCATGAAGTCTGGGTCTCTGGTGTTCAAATCATTAAATATATCAAAAATAAACTAAAGTGTTCTTCATCAAAGCGCTCATTCAAAAAGAAAATAAAACCTATTCTGGCTTAATTACCTTTCCCATTGCACATAAAAGAGTATAATTATGCACCATTGTTACAGTCATATTTTCTTTGTAGCAGCACTGGGGCCGAGTTACATATACTCCTTAAAATATTTAAAGGATACTTTCGAAACCCCAGCATTAACCCAAACCTCATTAAATTGTTCTGTTTTATACACATAGTGGAGCCAAACACATATGCTACAACAAATCATGTTCCTATGACAACTGTATAAATGCTTGAAAACATCAAAACCTCCCCATTTCTATGATAAAGCCTTTAAAAAAAAAAATAAAAAAAAAATAAAAAATCTATGGTAAACAAAGCAATGACACAGACTTGAGCGTGGGTGATTTCTGCCCATTTCACATTGAGGCCCACACTAGTGGGGCGACGACACCGTTTAACAGCCGTGGTATCCATGCAGTCTGCAGTTCAACAGTAGTTAAAACTTGAAAACCATCAAAAATAATTAGGGCTCCGATGCACAGTGGCACTCTGGGCCAATTGAATTGACGTACCACATCCAGCAGCCTCTAGATAGTGCATGAGCTGAATAACAAACATATCCACAAGACAAGCTTGCTTTGCAGTTGGATGTTTCCCTTGTGTTGCCCTCCACTCTGTCCAACAAAGTAATGAAATAATGTGGAAAGAAAACACAAAATCGGCCTTGACTGAGTCAAAGTGTAACCTGTCGTGGTGACCTGCGAGCAACTCGTTTAACGCTACAGGAAAAACTACTGTATGCTGTCAAACGCAGGAAGTCAAATCACACTTTTTTTTCTGTAAATGAATTCACAGCTCTGTAATGCACAAAGACGCAGTGGAGTTTCAGGAGAAAAACAGCAACTAGCCAAATATATTTTAATCTGGAAATTGGTACTTGTTCAGATCTAGGTTACTGATTAATTTTCCTTCAGTCGTGAGAATTCATTTATGGCCGAGACTACTGATGTTTGTGAGGTTACAACCCGCAAAGCAAGGTTAAAGCGAAGCTAACGAGCTGGTATAACGTCAAAATTCGATATTCACCCAGCTTTAATAGACAGAAAAAGAAGAGGAAAAAAACACTCAGGCTAAAAGAAAATTAGCGATGTAACAGATGCATATACTGCGGTCGTTTGTTTTTTTATTTGTGTGTGTATGCGTTTAGTTAAAACACCTAATTTACATGTTTATAGGATTGTTAGTAATTTTGGGAAGCCAGTTATTGCCCTGGAGGTAGTGTCAGCTAAGTAACTAAACGTTGGCTACCGGGCCCCGTTTCCTTTGCCCCGTTTCCGTCGGGCTCGGTAGACGAGGCCTTTGTAAACGACAACGCCGCCTACGACGTTCAACCTTGATAAGCCATTTGGCAACCCGCAGTAAATAAACTCCACCTTGACTGCAATACAAGCCTCTAAAACTGCAGTAAACGTATAATCGAAGAGCCGCGATGCGTGCCATCCTGAGCCCGTTCATCGCTAGCTCAGGGATGCACCTGTTCTATTCTAGGCGGACCAGAGCAGCGAGCTGCTGCTGGGGCATTCACCACAGATGCCCGACTCTCGCTCTCGGGAAAATAAAAAAAATGAAATAAAATAAACGCCGCTAATCTCAAACTCATACACGACAAAAACTAGGCTGCATGGCAGCACGCTCCATAAGCCCCCGTCCGAATACATCAACTCACAAACACTAAAATCGAAGAACCGGACCGAGGTTTGGTAGCCACCGAACGGGCTAACTAACAAGCTAACAGCAGTAGAGTATAGTGGTGACAAATATAGCTCTTTACCTGCCTCGTCGGCCGAGAGGAGTTCGTGCCAGTTCTACAAAATGCGCCCATTTAAGTAAAGACGAGGAGGCAAACGTTTTTCTTAGTGAACTCGTGAAAAAGCAACGGAACCCCAAAATTCAAACTGACCTTGTTAGCGAGCTAACGTTAGCTAACTCGCGCCGTAATGTCTCCTCTTCTACCCTGAGAGCGCAGCGAAGACTTCTCAAATGCCATAAAACATGCGCTTCCCTTTGAGCGCCACGGGAGGAAAAAATAAAAAGTCTAGTATCGTGTGAATAGGGTACCTGGGCACAGTCAAGGTAACATATGTCTCCCCTCTGGGTTGATAAGTCTACAGACACTTCACAGCTCTGTGTTGTAATTATGTCGGTTGCTACCCCTCCCCGGCTGCCTCGCTCTATCCTTCTCTTACACAGGTCTACAGGTTGAGGCCGATCGTGTGTACCAGCGTGACTCCACCTCCCTTTTATTTGGAGACGTGCAGGTGAACGCAGAATAAAGTGATGCAGGACAGTATGCAGCAAAACACAAGTTTTCCAGTAACCTAACCTCACAGTGTTGCTTGCGATGCAAACTTCAGTGAGGGCAAGTATTTCCCTGCAGAGCTTTGTTTTATTTTTATGACAATGTGCCTCTCTGATGATGATTAAAAAGGCAAGTGCAGGTATTCCCACTTGTACTTTTGTTCTGCCGTGAATGTACCCTTTTAACTAACACTCTTGAAGTGATATATTTGACTTTCTTTCTGTGCTTTATAGCAAATATTATGGGGTCATTGCAACGAGTTGGCAAAAAATATCTAAGCTGTTGCGGCAACAGTTTAGATTGTGCTTGTTTTTCACTGGAAACTGGTCAGATATTTTAAGGCTCACTCGTGGTCTGGAGGTTATATTTGTTCAAAGAAGGGTTTTGAAATGATTAACAGCTGAACGGATTTTCTGTTTGTGCTGGTAGAAATACAGTCCGTGTTTGCACATTCTTATCGTCAAAACAAACTAAAAGCTGGAAGTGGGGTATTGTGTGTGCGCGCAAGGTTTTCACCAATGTGCATTTGCAAGAGTGATTTTTTTGTTCTCAGACTCCTGAGTGAGGGCAGCTGTAATATTAGTCACAAGATGCACGCATGTGGTTGTTTATGAGTCCAAGGTTTAAAGGAATTAGGTGTTTCTAGGTTAATATTTCATTGCTAAAGCATCCTTGGTAAGTTTCTGATACATAACGTGTGACGTTTTCAAATGTCAAATATATAAAATCCTGTACCAGTTAGAGCTGTGAGGAAAAAGGTCAGTATTGGTTTGTGGATTTGTTTAGCAACGGTTTGAGCTGCTGCCTGATTGCATTGCATAAAATTCCTTAAAATCCCCTTTCTTCACCTTGACAACTTCTTACCTTTCCTCTTATAGGTGGAACACAAAGATGGTGGCAATCCTTTGTGAAGATCTTTGAGCCTGTACGAATGACTGGTTGCATTAAGCCTGCATTATTATGGTTTTAAATAGGGCATGAGCTCTTTTGGGAAAAATACTTAAAAGACGAAAGGAAAGTTTAAAGAAAAGGGAACATTTTCCAGACTGACAGTCGGTGTTGAAAAAGAGGCAAGCGGCACAGTAAAAATCTTCAAATGAAACAACAATTATAGATGTCATTATACTGCCAAATAAAGCTGCCAAATAAAACTGCCAGATAAAATGGTAAAAATGGGCATTCTTACTCACTTTGCCAACAAATGATTAGATGTCTTTTACCCCGCAGAAAATATTTGCCTGAAATATGTGGTTCCATTTACATGATGTCATCATCATAAATAATCATAAAAAATAAATTGCACAAATATCTTGGAGCAAAAAAAGTGACTCGGTGTTTATGGCAACAAAGAAAGGACTTTCATATACTAATAAAACCCTTGGCAGCCATGAGGAAAATTTTAAGATGGAGAAACAGTAGCTGTCTGTAATAGTTCACAGACATGTCAGTCATCCGAATCGCTTTGACTCTTTGTTCACCCCCGAAAGGCAACATGTATATACAGCTGCAAGAACATGTTTAAAAAAAAAAACATTTAGCATTAACATGATTTATTAGATATATTCACAAATACAGGCGAAAAACAAAATGCGATGAAGCACTTTTCACATCTTTAGTAAACCTGCTACCAGCTGTGCAGGCTGCAGAAAAAAATGCACTCTTCAGTTAAGTAACTTATAGAATCTCCTTTACCAGGAAAAACCTCACATGTTTACTGATTCCTCCTTTACCTCATCAGATGAGACTTTTGGATCATTGCTCAATATAGACATATTTCAGTTCCTCCATATTTTTAATTGTGCAACTATCTTTTGATGACACTACATCACCAGTGGGTTGAATTTCCTGTTTTTTCCAACTACTTTTGTTTAATTTTTCTTTCTGTGGTTTCAGATATTGCAGTGTCACTTCTCCTGAGCGTCATGGACTGCTTGCCCCGTGATTCTATGGTAAAATTGGTTTAAACAAGTTTTGAATACATACGTTTTTTCACTGATCTCATGACGTTTCGGCCCTGAGGTAGCAAAGCAGCTCCCAACTACGACGCTTCCTCCTCCGTGCTTCACCTTTGAGATTTCTGTAGTCCTTTCCACCTGAGCTGTTTTGTTTTTACCACTGGTTTCTTTTTTTTACCTCTTTAATGCAATCGTTGCAAGGTGTCAACTCCTAGGTAAATTTTCTCAGTTTGTGGACAGATTTATTATTATACCATTTTATATATAGACCTTTCATAACCGCTTCCAGCTTCATGAATCTCTACAGTGCTAAGTCTTAGGTTGCGGTGACTGAGACTTGCTCTGCACTAACCAATCTTTCTTGAGAATAGCATACTTTGTCAGAAGAATATGCTAACTGAATGCCTAACTCTGAGTAGCCTTTGGAACAGTTGTTGAAGCTCAGATGACATTATATGAGTAATCGATACAATAAAACATTATCATACTATATAAAGTGCTCTGACGTGGCCATTGTATATTAGCAGAATAGATAACACTGCAAGAAGCTGAACTGAATTGAAACGAATTGAAAATGTGATGGATTTAATTAAAGGCTTTCTCTTGCAGCTGCCTAGCTGCATATCTAATTGAGAGTACATGTAGCATATTGAGTATTTTAAAACAATATTTTATCTAATGCACATTGTAATGAATGTGCATCTGTGCTTTAATTCTTTTGGAGTTAGCACTGAAATATGTGCATAAAGAATTCATCATCACGTAGCAAATTTATGGGACAATTTGCTTAAATCACAGATTACAATTTGCACATCACACCACATAATACAGTCATTGTAATCAGAATCTATTTTTTATAGGCATGTTGCACCTAACTGTCTCAAAATTAAATTAATACACCATCTGCACAGACAATAATTAATCAATTATATCAATGTCAGGTGAGAGGAATGCAAGCGTTTACTAATAGTTGCTGTTCTCTCATCTTATTGTTTACACTCAAGACAGAAGAGGGAATTTCACTGCAAATGCATCGCCCGGCTCTCATTTTGTCTCAACTCACATACACAACAATACTTGCAAGTCTACTAGACCATGATAGGCCCACCGCAGAGGGGCTTTCATGTGATTGCACATATCAGTCTGACTCTTGATGTGTGAGCACAGAGAAAGAGAGAGGATTAAGAATCAGCTGACTCCCCACATTTTCTTCCAAGTGACTTATTAGAAGGGTTATTCTGAGCGGTCTGCTGGACCGCTGAGGGGTTGGCTGAGTAGTGAGACCCTCAATGAAGCCAATTTCTCTCACAATGGTAGATTACTTTAGACAACCTTCTCGGCTTCACCCAAAAACAAACGGAAGGAGCCTTTTGTACATTTTCTCTGTTGTGCTCACAGATCTCTCTCGTTTGCCCACAATTTTTTCTCACACGTCATAATTTAGTGTATCTGCAAAAGTGTTTTGGACTCACATGATGAGGCACAGGGCTACAGTAATTTGCTGGGCCATTTCATCAGGGTCAGCAGTGAAACACTTTAAAAAATGTTCTGGGAACATGTCATTTACCTGTAACAAGCTTTTGTTTCTGGTCTACTGTGGACACTTGTTTACTCTGTCACTTGACATGTCGTTCCAGCAATAAAACAGGAAGAAAGATGATTTCCTTTCACTGCGGCATCTAGACCAGACTACCATTTCCTTTTCCATCCACGTGCCCCTGGCTATCTGTTCTTGCTGCTCAGCACAAATAAGATTTCCAAAGAGGTGCCATTATCACTTGTGCATGTTTACGCTGAAACACACTGTTAACAAGCTAACACACTGTGAAAACCTCCCATTGATGTAAAAGAAAAACTAATTATTTGCCAAATACTTTGTCTTGTTGAAAAGTAATTTGGGACTTGTGATTTCAGCTTGTCATATTTACATGCATCTCAGAGCAAATTAATCCCTTTTTGGTCTTGCTGCGGTGAGTTAGCTGATAATTTGCAAATTAGATGCATAATTAATCCACAATCAGACACCCTAAAGGCAATTAGAGGCGATGGGACGCTTCTGTACTTCGACCAGTGGCAGGTTAGGCTGCTCCATTACAGGGTAAACACAAAGCTCTTAAGGAGACTTCATGCTAAATGGAAGTGTGAGGAAAAGCCCCTAATGACCGTTGTGACTGGGGCAATATTTTGGTTATCAGAAACACACACGCCTAATGACTTTGAAACACATCAAGAAGACATCAGCAAATACAGAAATCATCAAAGGGAATGGCCACAGGATGACCCCAATGAAAAGCTGTAATCAAATCCCAACCTGGCGACTGAACAGGCCCTCAATGGCCCCTTAATGTGTTGTGTAACTTTAGCAGTTACCTGAAATACCCTAAACACAATCCAACACTGCACGATTACACAGCCATAAACAACAGTCCAAATGAACCTGAACTTAATTATGATAGTAGCCTTCCACAAGTTCTCATCAATACCTTATTTTCCGTTATAAAGAAGTCTCTGACCGAGCGATGACCTTAGAAATGTCTTATGTTAGCTCCCCCCCCCCTTTTTTTTTTTTTAATGGTAGCATTATTTTTTCAGTGGAATTGTTTGCCAAGGTATTGGCTGTGTGGTTTGCCCATCTATTTTGGACTAGATTAAAAAAATCACAGCAGCTTCTTGAAAATTCCCATAAAATTTATTGATTCACAATAAAGCAGAAATTTGTCACTCTGCTTGGTAACATTTGTATGAATCACATTGATTTTAGTTAGGAAAAAAATCAGTTGTTTTTTGGATAAATTCTCCCCAAACTAATGACTTTCTCCAGCCTCAACAGTACTTAGTGTTTTGGAGCAAATAGCAAAAGTTTACATGTAAATATCCAGTGTGTATAACTAAAGTGGTGAGGATGGTAAAAGCTTGTACAGTACTTTGTATAAACAGTCTGTATTGCTCATAGCACAACTGT